ATGATGATGATGATGATGATGATGATGATGATGATGATGGGAGACATGGAATCAGCACATATACCTTGCGTATTAGTCTCTTCAGTAGTGCGCATTCATCGCTGCTTTTGGCTTCAGTGTCCCGTCACTAATCGGACAGCCTCCAATGCTTGGCTGTATCTCTCACACCTTTCTGTGCTCAAAAATGTAACAGCTGGAAACCGGTTTATAGAGGATGAGCTTCACCGAAGGTACTGATAGATCTCGTATTGCCAGTACTCAAGTAGCCAGTAAAGCGTTTGTATTTCAGTGTCTTTTGGGAAGTTAATTGGGCAAGGTAAAACATACCGTCTAAGATGAACCAGTAGTCAACGCAACATCATTATTGAAACTTTTGTATTTTCACGTTACTCTAGTTCTCGGCCAAGGTAGTCTGAAGGCTTGGAATAATAACTTTGTGGACGAGTGTGGATCGCTGCTCCTTCACCCACGGGCAACGTCAACTGCGCCGTTATCTTTGACCGGTTTGGTGGAACGGGGTGTATGATTTGTAGACGTCCTAATATGTAAGGTTTTGGGCAAAAACACAGTTCAGTGGATTGAATTGTCAAAATTTTTGACAATTCGGGTGCCGTCTGTAAACTTATTCGGGATTTTTACAATCAGCTGATTATAAAAATGTGTAAGCAATATTGTTTCTGCATTACCCATTTCAAACATACGGTTGGTGATAACCCTTAGTTTGGTTCTGACGGTTCCCAGCATAGAACTTATATAAAACACCTTCCACTTCCTTATTGTAAGCCTCACTATAGGTAGAAATGCCATGCTACAATAGGCAACCTAAAAAAACACAGAACAAAAGTGCACAAATATTCATGGTTTCGTACCTCTTAAGCAGAAAAGGAACCGATTACAAACCCTAGATCACTGGACTCGGAGAATTTGTACTTCAGAGCTTCCCTGGTTCTCGATAATGACAGACTATCCATACAACCCGAAAAAACACTCACAATCACAGGAATCAACCATCATCGGCTATGGACCAGTGCCTTGACCTCAAGGTACAAATGCATCAAGCGGGAACTAGAGATGATAATTAGGTGCTTATTCTGCGTATTTCCTTAAAATTTACAAGTTGACGAGTCAGCATTAAACTTGCTGCCAGTTACTTATCTCATTTTTTCATGAGTTGTCGGGGCTATCAGAAACGCATGCCGGATAGATTGTTCTCAGCAAGCTCAAGTCTATACAGGGACTCAAACAGCCCCTCAGGCCCGAAAGTACTTCTACATGGGTTTGCTTTCTTTTATATCAGTCTGGTGAATCAACTCCAAATGACCATGAACGCAAAGTGAGTTGTCTTTTGTTTACGCCGAATAATTTTCACACACGGTATGGTTGTGGGAATCTAAGCACAAATTCCGGGTATAAAGGTAACTATGAGAGGAGAACGCAGTTTTCATTCGAGTCTCATGTGCGCTGATGACAAGAGTAGGAAAAATTGACACTTAATTCACTTGGACTGGTTATCGCATACACTCAAATTTTACAAGCCTCCGCTCACCTTCATTCTTAACTCTTCTTCTAGTCTGAAAGCTATTACTGGACTATGTGTTTACTGTTAACAATTTTGCAGTAAAATTCCTCGTTTGGATTGAGTCACGAAACCTCAACATTGCAAAATACGAAAAGCAGAAGTTATATTGATAAGTACTGGGAACCACATCCAGAGATTGCCCACCCCACCGAACCCCTGTGATAAATTATTTTAACTGCCGCGTGAAGTACTACTTTCTCATTTTATTATTTCCCTTATAGACTTCTTCAAGGACAGAAGAAGCACAGTTTCCTGCTTCCCAATTCTTAGAATGACGTCACCGCCGTTGACCTTATCTAGTGCGATTTCTAAGACGGGTTATTCCAGATTTTTAAACGACAGTAGCTCCCATTATTTTCTAATTATAATCCACAGTTTATCAGCAACGCACATTTTGATTGACAGCATCAGTCGTCGGCAGAACACAGGCAGTAGTGATTGCGAATACCTTTCTAGAAGGAATATTCTTGACGAAATTATACGTGTGGGATGTATATTTATACTATACGATCCCGGAATGAATAGCTCGTGATAGGACATCATGCAGGTGAGCGTATTTGACAAAGAATAGTAAAAACGGAACCAGGTCACATTTGGATATACGCAAAAAGTTATCGGGGTTTGTCAAGTCAGGATTGGTCGAACTCAAGCTGTTCAATGCGATGCTTAAACGACCTTGAATGATTCGAAACAAACCGTTTAGGCTCAAATAGTTCAGTGGTAAGGAAAATAACGCTCTGCCTGGAAAGTACGTTGTTCGAACCCAAATCCAGCACCACTATTCCTGTCTAGTCTTGGGCAAACGTGCAGTTTGTCATCCATCGTGTTTCCGAGTATGGCGTGGCAGGTAGGCATTGAAAAGATGTTAGACGAACGAACGATCGATTTCAACTTGTGAAGAACGAAAGAAACGGGGCAGCGGCTTCACAAGGTTAAATGGTACATGACGAATCAATCGTTTACGCTCCGTTAACAAATCTGACATGTTGAACCTGTTTATTTATCTGTAAAAACAACATAGTTAGCTTATTTTCATGCTATGACCCTAGTGCTAACGTTGTAACATAACGGTTGCGCAAGCTTTCTGTGGCTTTCTTTCATTTAAAATTAGTTATGTAGCATTACCAAGCACGAAAATTCTGTGTGACACATTACACACCTTACAAGTGATAAACATTTTCCCCAGTTGTATCAAAACGAATTCGGCAAGACAGGCACAGAACCACGAATGTAAAGACACGTTTCGATAAGAAAGTGACCTATATTCATCAGCGCAGATCAGCAGTAATTTAGTTGTTTGAAAAACAAACTTCCATATCTGGGATTCCACGAAAAGAAGTCTATTAATATCATCGATTGGATAAAAAGGTAAGCTTGGGGCGCGTGAATCAGCATAACCTAAGTGAGAGAAACACCTGTGGTGATTAGTTGGCTTCCTCAATAAAATTATGACACCATTTTTGGTTAGATATGGATGCCAACCGATGTCAGTGGCGTTCTTGTTGTCAGTTTCTATCCAGATTGCCTGAGTGAATGTCTGGAGGTGTAGGCACCTCGGAATGATTGTGTTAAGCTAGCACCAAGTCCCTCCCCCGTCCACCTTTACTCTTTCCTTTATAATAAGGCTTTCAAATAAGTCATGGTTGTACGGCAGTGAAGCATCGGTGTTGAACACTGATGTCACGCTGCCGATGATGATGATGATTGTTTGGTTAGGTGAAAGAGCAAAATTCTGGTGATTTGCGATTCCTTATTGTTACACTAGGTGTGTGCTAAATTAGCAGAGCGCGGTGTAGCAGAGTTTTGCGTGCGTTCCACATCATAGAAATCTCACAGACTAACACCACAAATTCCCTTTTTATCACTGAATACAGTCGGGAAACTCCACGCCAAAATCTGCCACACTAAAGTCACAACCGGTAAGTTATTTATAATTATCCGTTCACAAGAAGTTACCATAAGTTTGAACTGATCGTTCACATGCCATCGGAAACTTCCGTCTCGAGAGACGCAATTTGCGCATCTCTGCAAGGTCCAAGCACTTTCCGCATTTTCCCGGTCATTCAATCTGCACAATGCGTTTCCTCGTGGCCGTGCGTAAAAAGCACCTAAGAACAGTATACGCACCCTTGAATGGCAAACCATCTATTCTGCTCTCTCCTCGAGTGTTGACAGACATGAGCTCAACCTTCCGGTAGGTCGGATAGGACGGCACATACGCGCGAAGGAATCAGGTTATTCAGGATTAAGTTCATAGCTAAGGCGTGTCGTCTGATCCCCTTAAGTTGCAACCAAAGTTTTGTTTTATTCACTACTCTTCCGCAATCTGAGAGAGCATTTTTCGAATAACAAGATCTGAAAATGATGCTTCGTGCTTGATGCTGCATGTTAGACGATTCATCCTCTCGGATCACTATGTTTTAAATATAACCAAGCCCTGTCATGCACAATATTCTGCTAGATATCCATCGATTTCTCTGTACTTCAGCCGATCACATCGTTCTTAAATGAACATCCAAGCTCACCTCACACAACGCCAGGTCATTCTCAACGGGTAAGTATCCATTCCTCCATTTTCACTATTTTCAATAACTTGAACTTTTGTAAGCCATAACATACCATATTCGGCAGTGAGGCAGCATGTTATACCTTCTTGATTGAGCTATCAATGATTTGTGTTTGTCAGGTCATTTTTTCGGTTTTCTGTTGGATAATGTCCCAACGCTAATCAGACACAAGAAGTAACCCATTAAACCATTATTAACGACTCACTGTAGACATTTTATTCGATCGTAACAAAGACAAATTCGCCCGCTGATAATCCATACAAATTCATTTGAGGATTTCTTTACGGCAGTCTATTTTTCAAAATATTGTCATGTGTGTAACTGTTAATTAAATAAACAGCTATTTCTTTAGCAAACGAATTCGAAAGGGCATCAAACTGTCAGTGAAAAAAGGTCGGTATGAAATCGGATGCTGCTGAACACAAGGATCTCGTGTGTGCCGAAAATCTGCTCCGTTTGGTGGAAACATTTCCTGTCTGAGAAAACTCAGCACTAATAAGAATATTAGTGCTGACTTGTTGAACGGTCGTGAAACTCGGTATCGGTCCCTTGGCTTCCTAATTCGCCCACGATGGTACATCACAAGGCATGGAGACAAGGGGGAAATGGTACAACTGTATTTATATGGTGATCACAGAATGTTCCACAAGGTCGTGCTAGAATTTCCGTGAGGGGCGAAAAGCGTCGAGCTGAAGATGCTCAATCCGGACTGGCCGGCATTCTGACCAATCAGGGCATGCCTTCGTGTGGTTGGTAGCCTCCACGTGACATCCATCCAAAAGATGTGAAGTTCGGCTATTATGGACGGCTTGCCTCCACACAACTTCGATTTTCGGAACAGTGAGAACAGGGGTTTCAATCCAAGCCCGAGAAGTGACAAACCTCTGTTAACCAAACGATGATCAAAACGACACATGTCAGAAGTCGTGCTACGCTCCTTTCTGATTTCTGATGCATCCTTCCAAAGATATTTGCTGCTTTAATCATATTAATTCCGACATTCATATGGAGGCCACTGTGCCAGAAATTTCATATTTCGAGACCGGCATTCAAGCAAGTTTCGTTGTATTCAGAAGGAGGTAAATTTCTCACAGTAGCGTTCAAAAGAAAGGTATTTTTTGAGGCTGCAAAGATTCATCCGGATGTGACTGACCATAAAACATTTGCACACGTCCCACAACTTGTTTCTATTAGAGAGTTTTTCCGTGTTTTATCCCCAATATTTGTGTAGTTTAACACGTAGTTTATTCAATCCTTCACAATTTCTAATGATAGGACATTTTGATTATTCAATCCTCTGGATGGCTCACATATGCACTGAGTGTGCTAATTTTAGTTTCGTTATTCAGTGCTAATCAGCAAGAGGTTCTAGGTTTTTTTTTAAAATCTCCGAATAAAGGCACCGTCCTCATGTGGATCTCCGGTAAAATCCTACTTAGAAAAAATCCCCCTGTCAACTGAAAACAGTCACTAGTGTCCGCCTGCCATTGGAATTGTCTGGTCTATGATGAAGTTTTCAATACACTGTTTTGTTTTGCAAAACAGTTTCTCCGTAACTCTTCAAGAAATAGTGTCCATCGTAAACGCTTGGTTTAGAAAGTCAAACATGAAGTGTAACAAACGTCTATCTAAACTAAGAAGCTTAGTTAATTATACCCTGTCTTTGCTGTCATCCTGAAGGCCACCCATCAAAATTCTCCAGTGACGTGTGAACGCACCAAAAAGGGAACTAATCGCTCGATGACTCCCGAGTAGTAAAACTGGAAAGGCTCATCTTAGAGTGACTGTTGTAAATCGCTACATGGGTGAAGCGTGGCACACAACGAGTACAAACAAGACAGTTTTGAGCTCACTTGCACGTTGAAGTTGGTGGAACGAGAGATCCAGTGGAGTCTCTCACATTTATTCGCGTACTGATATTCTTCCACATTTTGTATAACAGGACTGGATTCCATACAAGGAGTCCTTCGATGTACGCTACCTACCATAGACGTCGCACATCTGAGGATTATACCATATTAATATTTTGTCACTCATTGGCATAATCTCTTAAACTGCTGGAGGTGAGTCGGTTGTCATTTGGGTTGGATGGTGAATATGAGCTGCCATCACGGAAACTACTACATTAGGCCAGCTACGCTATCTAGACTCAAAATTTCAGCAATGCCGAGAATGGCTAGACTAGTCCGCTTTTAGCAGTTGGGAAAGATTCTTATGATTTAATAAAATCAACCAAAATAGTTACCTCATTTCATTTCTAAAAACATGACGTGACGGCACTCACTTTCCCAGCTTTCTTTCATCCTAAAGCGAAAAGCTTTCTCTAATTTCCAGTCTAGGGAACCGAGTCCCAAAGAACACGCAGCTAAGGTGAATCCTTTAGCAAATTCACAATTCATAACTTCACATAAAATAACCAAATTTGCTCTAAGATGGGAATTTCACTGTCACCACCGTCGTCGGTGAAGCTCGCACCGTCAGTTTTTTCAAGATTGCCTCATTGACCCTTTGGAAATTTGGCGCTTTAAAGTGCTTGCGCTAGGTCTGCATGAGGTCCCCCCATCACACTGTTTCCCTTGTTTTCAAATTAAGGCTCTAAGAATAACTGAATAAACTTCGTGGTTGCACCCTAGTGAAGAAGCCGCGTAAAAACCGAGGTTTTGAATCAGACCGTGGTAGTGATTATGGCAACGGAAAATATCAGAATGTAAACTTTTGAACTATTTTGCATTGACCTTCGATTGATCCTGAGATGTTTGCGTAAGTGTCCTGTCCTTTGTCATAAGCTACTATGTTTTCAAAATATCGCTGTCTCTTTAATAATCTGAGTTGTTTTTCAGCGGTCCGGGCTTGAAGAATACATAGCTAAACGAACCCATACTTGCCTAAACTTATGCCTGCAAGAGAAGTAGAAAAGCGGTAATGTTATCAAAGTTTGAAAAAATTTGTGGATATATCTGCTAAAAGTAAACAAGCCAAGGGTGATTCTATCCAAACTAATGGATTTGGTAGGTATACCCTAAGCCAAACCCAAGCCTACATACTGCAGCCAGAAGTAATTACGAACACCCGGTGACAGTTTTAACAAAACTCCCTCAATTTCATGTCCCTGTGATTGCCTGATTTTTCGAAGTTTGCATTGAATTGATCCATAGCACAAAATTGGGACCCATGGCGAGTAAAAAACCTGCATTAGTCAGGAAAGGTTTACATTAAATAGAATGTTTGTCCCTCAATTCCAAGGGGCGATTGAATCAGTCCACAGTGCTTGCCGTTTTATTTTATGGATGAGACTGGGCCTATTCGAGCAGCAAGACTGAGTCCGAAAATCGTTGTATCAGAACCACAGCTCATGTGGTTTGGTGTCAGCGAATCCATAACGAGGCAATTATAAAGCGAGCTATCGGTTGTGCAACGGGTACTTCCATTGAAAAATGTGTCCAGCACCAGAAGCTGTGTTGATTTAAGAATCCATTACGTATGTTTAACCATTGCTTGTTGAAGAGAGTGCTCTGTTCCGCACCCGATTCAGAGTGGCGGAAGCAGAGAGGTGGCTAAACCTTGAGCTGGCTGAGGGTTATCAAAAAAATCACGAAACGTTTGAAGACTGTCGGTACAAATTACCCTCCAGGATGGGGACCGTTCGATCTCTAGTGTGCCTGGTTGGAGACGCTGCAAGGCATAGCTGCTAATCGATGTCAATGAGGTTCTTGTTGCAAGCATCTAGTACCATCCCATTCCATTTTTATTCTTTCTCCACAACAAATCTTTCAAACAAACCATGACTGCATGGTAGCGAAGCATCAGTTTTGAACATGCTGTCGATGAAGATGATGATATTTTTCACAAATTGTTCCAGCCACAGGATCAGGCTGCAGCACTGCAGCTTATAAAACTAAACATAGATTGTTAATTTTTTTAAAAGAATGGAAGGAAAGCTGTAAGGAGTGCAAAAAAATTTGGTTAAACAAAAGCTCAAACCTTATAGGGCTTTCCACCGGACGATGTGGAATCCACATTTTGGCTGATAGGCAACTATGGACTCGGGTGAAACTTCTTCTTGCTATATCATGTACTCTTGGGCTCCAAAACTTTGATGTATGCGGAAGAGGACGGTAGAACTAAGCTTGATTATTCTTTCCTAAGGGGCACGGCAACACAAATTGACCCTCTCTTTCACTCTACCTTCTAATGAGGGTGACTTACAAAATACTTGCTGACGATTGCTTTAATATCCACTTCAGCCATTAAGTACTGAAGCTTGGGTGACAGCGGCGCAATTTATACCGGCAATTTGTCTATGACCAACCAACCACGCGCCATCGGCTCTTCCTACCTGTGACGAGACATTTGCAAGCCAGCTGATAAGCTATGCGAACAGTTCACCTATCACCTAATATGCAGCGGTCCAGACCCTTCTGAATGGAGCTTATTTAATCAACATAGTTCGTTGATGATGTTTTTAATCATTTGAAGATGAGAAAGAGGTGTAAGAAAGATGTGGAAAGGAATCTGAATTGTACGGCTTTATCCTTGCAGGTGCGCTATCCCTACACCAGCACCCAAGCAAGCTGTAAGCAGTAAGCCTGTGGCTGTTGTAATGTACAACAGGTAAATATGTGGGGATTACCAAATGAATGCAACCAAAAGATGAGGCAGCCGTAACCAATGCAGTCTGACAGATGGCTTTCGACAAAATGTGATGAAGATTTGGTCTCGTAACGGAAAAGCTGAAAAGCACTACACAGAGAGGCTAACAAGAACCCTTTTCTTATTTTATCATAACTCTCTAGGAGTTTAGTCCACGTGAAAAATATGTTAAGGAATTTAGTATGTATTCTGATACCATTCGAAAAACACAAATGTTTTTCTAAGAGTCCACTCGCACTACTGTTTAGAAGTTCATATTCTCACTGATATTAAATCCGTCACACCCTTCTAAATAGACAGTTAAGTATTCAAATGAATTTGGTGACGGTCTTGGGAACTTAGCGTTTATCCACTGTTCTGCAGAGACGAGTGGAGAAGAATGTTCTTGGTTATTAATTTGACAAGGGGTGTGTTGTTTAGCCTAGTAAGCTGTAAGCTGCTTACCTGAATCTTGCGAAAAGGTTAACTAAAACGCAATGGAAATTCACACTGCTCCCTTTGCAGCCAGGAGACAAGGAGACTAAATATCTGGTTTATCCGTTACGTGATTTCCTTCAGACAGATTTCACACAAACCCTTGGCCAAGAAAACTTTTGCGCATTCCCCGGCAGATGTATTCCTCATGAACGGGACTTTACGAAGGCGCACCACTGTTTTGCTTCTTTTTAGCGCTTATTATTCTTATAAGTATATCATGAAATCACTAAGCTATCCAGAACTTATCCCAGAGTTTTTATTAATACTCATATCGTATAAACAGGCCAATGTTTCCCCAATTTTTCAAACTCATTTGAAACTGCTACCTTACCACTTTTATACACTTTAGTCGCTAAAGACTGAGGCAACTGGCCCATTGCCTGCAACACCGAAAAATTCCTTACGGGTAAGCATGCTTTCAGATATACACTTTGTCGCTAAAGACTGAGGCAACTGGCCCATTGCCTGCAACACCGAAAAATTCCTTACGGGTAAGCATGCTTTCAGAAGTTTTGTCTTGCTCACATAGTTACCCGGCTAGGAAGCTAGATAACTAGCCCGATTCAAATCTCACCATACCGGAATTGCCTATTTGCACTTATGCGGGAGTATTCCAAGTTGCCTGACCAGCGTTTTTGCTTAAGAATCACTGTGACTGGCACACGGATGGTTATGTAACCATCCTTTAGAATGTGCATACTGAATTTAGCCCAGCACTGAATAATGTCGCAATCACTTGTATAGAAAAACACCGAAATATATTGTAATAGTGCATGACAATTATCACGTTTGTGATTATTCTGATGTCGGAGCCCACGTTCAAGATGAAGCTCGGTAGTGCCTGATATGTGTGCATGTCTATTCTAATTCAGCCTTATGAATACTTCATAGAATTTCAAAGCTCGAGGGAAAACGATCCAATCGAAGCAAACTCTATGGTAATACTGAGCCTCTTCTTCGACAGGATTGGGTTTGGTAGTGGTGAACGAAAACCCTTGAATATTCATCACGGGTTACTTTCAGCACACTGGCGTCCTTTTTAAAGTCAATTTCCCGAAACATAGTTATGCCCGTTTGTAGTAATTCCATTGTTCCATTTTTCCTTGTGATGCTAACGTAGACAAGATAAGGTGGCTACTCTGAAATTTCTAGATCACTTTTGAGCCCCTTATGTTCAAAGTGAAACTCCAGGCTTCCGCCACTTGAAGTGGTTCACTTCCAGCATAATTATGTTCCGATCTTTGTTTGCAGTCCACCCATCCGAGTTCTAAGGGACAGACATCCAAGGTAAGTTAATTTCCGCGTGTTTTCAGACATTTTATTGTTGAACAGTAGAGGGTATTCGCATTTCTTGTACCTAGAACAAGCCGGAGAACCTAGCTGTTGAGTGCTTTTAGAAAATTTGTTACAAATCAACTGACTAAACCTGAGAAAGCAAAGCATGCCTTCAAGATGGGATAACGAGAGGAACCATAGGCTTCAAAACACCTGTTCTGGTCGGTTTGATAGGGTACGTCGATAGAAAGCACACACATCACACCACCGAAACTCAAGCAGTGCTCGCAGTTTACTCATGTGCAGTGTATTACTAGTTTTGCTGTAAAGGATTAGACATTTGACACAAATAGGTACAAAATCACCTTTTATAAATGTCAGCGGATGTTAAGTAACTCATTATTCATCGTTTTAGACGAGAAATTACATTACGAAGGAGTAAAAAGATGTACAGTAAAGTAAGGTTTTAGCCAGGCTAGTGGGAAGCCGCCATGCTTCTAGATGAATTTGATAATGCACACAGGAGCTTCCTTGTACTTAAATTAGACATTCCTTTTAATGCACCAGACTGATTGTTAGCTCTATGTTTCAAAAGTAGCTCGGGTTTGTGCAGTACTATAGAACGTCATCATGAACGTTAGTAAGTCGCTACAAACCAATCAGCAGAAAATTTTGAGTTCACCTTGGTTGATCCTGACCGCTGAAAGTTATGTTGGAATATTTAACGGACGTGCTTACAGTCTTTTCTCTTTAGCGGATGCAGCAAAAATAGCAATCATTAGTTTAAAAAAGCAGTGAACATTCTCTCTTGTCTTCCATCATTTTCCTCTGCATTTCATTTTAGTATAAACATGCGGAATAGCTTAAAGAATTTTGGGACTCATTTCGCTGCAACAAAAGCAATAGCATTATTAAGGGAATTGGTGCGCAAAAATAAAAATCGCGTCGCAGCAATATCACATCGATTTGATAAAGTTTATCAGAAAGTAGCCAAGGAATGATTTTAAGTTGTATCGTTAATGGTATCACCAATCCTACTGTTAAATTTTCATGCATTTTGATACTCCGTTTCATTTTGCAAAAAAAAACACGAACGAGGCTTACGTTTGTGCAAGCACTGCTGACCTTGAGGCTTTTAACATGAACGTTAGTAAGTCGCTATAAACCAATCAGCATAAAATTTTGAGTTCACCTTGGTTGATGCTGACCGCTGAAAGTTACGTTGGAATATTTAACGGACGTGCTTATAGTCTTTTCTCTTTAGCGGATGCAGCGAAAATATCATGTGCAATCATTAGTTTAAAAAAGCAGTGCAAGCACTGCTGACCTTGAGGCTTTTAATCTGCCCTCCGTGTCAATTCTTCCTGTCATGTTGTAACAGGTTGCGTTGTTGAATCTTGCTTCGGCAAATTCCACTGCGTCATCGCTTTTCTTAACGTACCTAGTGCCCAACGCTTTCCAGGGATAGCCTTTTACAAACGAAGTGTCAATGTTTCAAAAGTGCAAGTCCTAATCGTTGGGCAGAACGACTCGCTCAATCTAGAGATCATGTCTCGCTTTTGTTCACCCTCCTGGTTGAAAGACGATAAAAGGAGCCTGAAAGGAAGTTAAAAACGACATCCTCACATTACTCAGTGAAAAAAAAACATTAATTTACCGGAATTCGGTCTCCATATTTGGAATTTCATCGTTCACACACACAGTGTTTGAAGTTTCACGGGGGGAACTCTCATTTATGCTGGCACCATATGGGATTGTGTTGATTTCAATGGATTCCGCAACTTATATTTATCCTTGCCTACTCGCCGATATGTGCCATTCGGTCGCTCTGGCTCAACTGGTTGCTGTATACTGCATCCCAGTGACGATCGAAGGTACTTTGCACTCTTAATCACCCTTAATCCCCCTTGTATTGCCGTGCAAGTAGGATGAAATATTTGAACTCATTTTCCACACACCCTGTCGCAGAGCCACAAACCGTAGGAGAGAATGATATTTAGTATTCTCTGTGCAACAATGTTCCAGCTTAACGCAATTACGCAAGTGTGGAATGGTGACGGTCGAAAAACTAAGCAAAATGCTTGGGGTTTGATGGTGCCAATGAGGCTCAGTAGTACGGGAATAAACTAACAATATTTCAGCTAAATCAGAGCCACCTTCACTGTGAAGAAACGCGGCGCATATATGTACATATTTTGTCAATACTCCACTGAGAGGTAGATTTTAATTATCTGATACTTTCCACTATCTCAATCTTACCAAATACCAGGGCAAGCATTACTGATAAATCCATATTGGATGTCAGCTTTTTCATAGCTGCTAGCAATGTCTTGTCCTTATACATTTTTATAATGAAACTGCTGAGCTCGGTCAGAAATTAACTGAAATATCCTAATGAGATTAAACTTTTAAATGTTCCACAGAATATAGAATGATTTTACAGAAACCTAAAGCACCGGTGATTAATCAGGCTTTGGAAGGCACGCGTTCCTCTAAGGGTACCGACGGATAACATCTGTTTCGAGGTCCGGGGTTGGAATCTGGTTTCAGTCTGTGTGTGCACAGGTCAATTTCAGCGTTGACTTCATCATATTTGTCTTGATTACGGGTACCAAGTCAAGTGTCCCCGCGCCGAAACCAAACACTCTGTACTCACCCTCGATGAGTGGACGCAGAGGAATTGTCATGCAGAGATTTATAGGACATGAAAAGTAGACTTGTTTCCAAATGTCCCAAAACTGACTGCTACATCACTCGAAAAAATGCCCCTTTGGCCGTCAACCGCAGGCATACATTCAAATACTGATCGAAAATCCGTCTAAAGGTTTGAGCTCCTATACAGTCTTACACTCTGAATCACCAGGTTATGGAAGGTCTCCGTCAAATTTTCTGCTTTTCAAGTGCCCTAATATTCGTTTTACCGGTCACCGCCTGGCAGCACACTAGCTGACATTCCGGTAACCGGTGTCTTACTGTTTTTCTCCGTGTGACAGGAGCGGCACTGACGGAATATAAGGCATGCACCTAAACATGAGGAGTTTGAAGTTTCATGTTCGAAAGTTGTTCGGAAACAACTGGTTCATTTGAAAGAGTCATGATCTTCTGTGTTTAACCACTACGTGTATTCGTATCATATCTTGCAATTCATGTTCAAGTAATATGAACCATGTTGGCCACCAATTTATTGACGCTGTTTCATCAGCTGAACCTCAATAAGCATGCTGAATTGAGTCTTCTCCCAGTTACACGCTGGGTTTTGATACTGTAATAAAACAATGCAAAAACAATGTTTTAATTGCAATAGCTATTATATACACAAGAACCATAACACTATCACAAACCGCATGAACTCAGATCGCAATTCGGTTGCAATTCGGTTTCTTATAATAACCCCACCCTTGAGAATGCAGCCAGTGTAATTTGAACAAGCAGTCACCTTTATCCAATTCTTCAAGTTAAAAGAAAGGCATCTAGAGTAAAATGTCAAAATTCCCCTATTTCCGTTAGCCACAGACGTAACAACTGCAAGACTGAGTAGAAAGGAGGAAAACAACAGTAAACCCGACGCATTCGGCTGGTGCAAGCGTTCTCTGAGCTTCGCAAACGTTTCATCACATCATGATAATCAACAGCTGTGAAAATTGCGTACTTGTGTACAATTTTCATGAATATTACACTTTCAGTCGCCGACGATTGGAGCTAGGTGGGGTAGACAGGTACGCATCGGATTTGTTCGTGATTTGTCCGTGTCCCGATTGGTCGACCTTGAGGTAACCTATGAATTTGACCACTCCTACAAGCGCCCTGTGACACTTGCGAACTTGGCTCTACTGATGGTCGTGTTGCAAAATGATAACACATCCCGATTTGTTGTAATATTGGGTACCCGGGTGCATACACTAGTAATTGATCAGGTGGTTTTTTATATTTTAGTCGAGCTCGGCGAACAGATCAGCGGACACCAGATCAATTACTAATAATGTGACTTGTCTACCTTGACAACCAAATGATCCATGCATTATCACTCCACCCAAGTCTTTTAGGCACAGCTTACTTACTTCCATAAATTATAAAGTTACATATTATGGTGCACTTCTACATTGTTTAATACAATCAGAAGCGCGGGCAGGTGACTGTTTGCATTTCTTCGGCTACCATTTAGCCTAGCCTATCTGCAACCTTGGAGCCCATGCCCTCAGTGCCAGCAACCCCGAAGAATTCACTAAGAGCAAGTGCTGATTGCAGCTAGATTTGCTTTGTCAAAATGTTTACACAAAATAAATGGTAAAGGCAGTGTTATGAAAAGGGCTATATAAGATCACTGACAAATCGTTCACAAGAAATTCCGGCAACCTGGCCACACGTGCTTCAGATGCTTGAGACGCTGCCATAAACGAGAACGCTTGTAGTTCAGGATTGGCCCCATTTCATCAGACAGTTTTTTTTTGTTTTTCGCAATGTGGATATCATGATGGCGAAAAATACAACATTGTGGCCAATCAACAAACAGCTTTTGATGTTAAATATGCTCAGCCGACTCAACATGGTACGTTAAGTAGACATGTATGGAGTGCTGCAAAACACCCATTAGTGCCACTATCACTCGGTCCTGCGTGTTGTGCTCATAAACAACTTGTGCAAACAAAATCGCTGAACGTCACTCGCTCTATCAAGTTTCTATCTCAGAGAGATAGAAGCATTCACTGATACGATGTTCCTAGCTTATGTCTGAGTCTTGCGTTATGGATGCTGAAAATTCATGCTTTCTAGAGCCGAAACGGTCATTTGGCCTGAACTATCAATTCTTTCTTACATATAGTCCGATCAGCTAATTCCCAAAGAAGAGTTGTCCAAAGTAAGTTCCCTTTTTCATGTGGGTGAAATTTGCCACGAATATGCACGTTTTTTCAACAGATATATTATGGTTTCCCAAGTTCATAGCCATCTAAATCGAAAACAGATCAGTTTTCGCGTATCTGATAATTTTCGTGGAAATTACGTGTGGCTGCTATTGTATTTCAGATCAGTGGTGAAGTCGTTCTACAAAATTCACCCATTGCTTAGGAGATATCTAGTTCTGTTTTACGAGCCATAAATATTCAAGCGGAATATCCTAATTATTCACCAGTACTGTGTTGATTTCCTGAGTACATCAACGTACGGTAGGAATAGGGATCACAGCTTAAAGTGTACCTCATAATAATCGTGTGACTCAGTAGATCTCAGTTAACAGTGTGCTAAGTAAATGCATCCCGTAGGTGCATCCAAAAATCAGCAGCGGTGAAACACGAGATGTTAAAGGAATATGTTCTGCAGTAAAACCGTCAATAAAATCACATCTTAAGTACCCATACCCATCTGAGAAAAGTTATTACGAGTTGTCTAATTTCCGAATACCTTTGCCATCTCATTGGTCTTTATTTATCTTCTGCAGTTTGTGAGCGGGAGTTTCACTTCCTGCATGCAACATCGGTCTAAATAATGTAGGTAATACGAGACCTGAAAGCTATGACCAAGAGCAAACGATGACTTCCAGTACCACCGAGTTGGATAGCGCTCTTTGTCATAAAAATGAAAGTCCATTGATTGGAGAATCGAATTTTATTTTTCACATGATTCATCACAACCCCACCACTAATGAAGCTGCATAAGGCCTTTTCATATTTTCTAGTCGTTTCCTTCATCATTTCAACAATCCTTTGTACGTTAAGGTGATAAATAGACAAACCTCAAAAGCTAAGCGAAACGATCATTTTCTCATTGGATGGTCTCAAATAATAAATAGTCGAAGTAAAGTAGGTCGGTCCTGTGTACCCCTAATCGTACAGCAACCATATCCGTTTGAAAGAAATAGTAATTTCAACAGAATAAAGCAACAATATTCCAACAATATGCATGGTTTTGTCAGTACTCAAACAAACTTGTTTTCCTTCATCTCTGAAATTCAGTCTTTAGCATCCTCCCCAAGAACAAATACAGTAAAGTCCCACCCGGTGAGTTACCCAAAAGAACACTTTTCCGAGAGACTGCACGGACCCGTTTTTTCTGTTTTCAAGCTTTGACTATACTGTTACTTAAGAGCATCAAAGAATCATGAAACACAGCGATCCGGAACAGAAATCACAGTAATCTTGTTTCAGCTCCATATCGACATGTTAAAAATGGGTGTCTGCATGTGACAAGATAGCGTCATTTTAGCTAGAACACGTAATACTACGACACCAGTATTAGGAAGAACGAGTAGTGTTCAAAGTAACTCAGAGACAAGCAAAGCCATCGCCTGTTTCTACCCCTAAAATCTAGTGTACGCCAAGCAGAATAACGTAGAATCCGAGATGACTGTTGCAAAGGTCTAGATTTCTCGAAAATGAACCTCTGGTGTTGGCTTCGAATAAAAAGTGACCACAGCACTAGAATGTGTTTCCCGTACTGATACTCTACCCGAGGATGAACAACACAATCCAATGAAACATAAATGCAACATTTTCTCCACCCATATCGCTTTGCATGAAGCGACAGTAATTTGTGGAGCAAATCCTACCGAAATATGTTCGTAGGAACATGATATTCAGCTGCCATATTATTTGCACTCTGGGAATCGGTACACCTCAATTTGTTCCCGATACAAGGAAACGGAAGAATGAAATCCCATTGGCGGAACTCACAATAAGGAATATCTTATTGTCCTGGATTTCATCTGTGCGAATTTGAATGTCGCCCGGTGCCATCAACGGTACGACTTCAATCAAATTTGTATAGCCATTTTGTTGCCCGTTATAATTTAAAAATGATATTGCTAGGAAATAAGCAACGGAATAACCGTATCCAAAACCTTATCATTTGTTAGTAGTAATGAAGAACTTCGCATGCTACGCAATGGTTCCGTTTTACACTTGGATTGGGTCGACCTTTATGGCGCGTGACATCCTCTTAAAGTTCCAGAAGTTTAAGAAGAAACGTGTTTACCGGACCACCGCCTTGGATGCAAAGATATCTTGTTTTCTGCAGCCTGGAGCAGCTGGAACCAACGTATCTTAGATGTATGATTTAGAACTGAATGACACCATATTCGAAGTTAATAACAACCAACATTTTAATGCAAAATCACTCCTCATTACGAGCGTCAAAACTATGTTTATGCCAACTGGGTTGAAGGAAGAGCGCCAAGAAAAAGTAGTTTTTTCCCAAAGCAACTCGTTGCTCAAAAAGGCTGCTCCGGCGACAAAAAAGTTACAAGTAAAAGTAGCGTTCACACGAAACATAAGTTGCCTACATTTTATATCAGAAATGGCAACTCCAACTTTAGGGATAGAAAACAAATTTTGTGGGATAGCGCGGGATGCGTTGGACCTTCTGGGTTGCCAAATGAGAAACGGAAACTTGGTATATAAGGCTCGCCTATAATAGAAAATAATCGCGTGGAATCAGATTGATAAGAACTACGACAAGCTTCACCTCTCTTTATAACTGATTTTATTTGTTCGTCAGCCAAGTGCGAAAACCTCTTTTGGAATAGCTACACCCTTCAGAAGTCCACGAACTTCATTGCAGGTGAGTGGAAAATAGCCAGGTTTTACTGGGATAACACAACAGGGATGGCAAGTCGACAGACTGTTTAGCCATGAACGAAAAAATATTTAGCAGCAAAATCAATGTTTCTCATGTTTTAAGTAAAAGCTTAGGGTAGTCCATTTTCTGCGATAGCAGTCAGGCTTGGCACAGTAGATTTTCTGTTCTTTAGGAGGATAAATTTTTATCTTTCCAAAAGCTGTGAAGGGGGATAAAGGTCCCCGCACTTAAAGGCCGAGTGCCCAAAAACTGACCCTTGTTCTACACAATTAATTTGTGTACCACTTTATACTAATTATATCTACCTTTTGATTTCGTATTTTCTTTGGATACTACGAGAATTATGGCATGTGCATGTGTGAATGTGTAAAGCAGCAGAAATGCAACAAGTTACAGAACTAGAATCTTGCATTCACTGTGTATTTGACATGTTTTCACTCCACAAGTCCTTGAGATTGCAGATGTTGTACGTAAGAGCCAGTAAATTTCAGGACATCAGTAACCATTATCCACAGAAAGAAATAATCGCCTGACTACCCACCAACAGTCAAAGCCCAAACGAATGTTGATGCACACGCCAAGGAGATCACAACTCAAGTAGATCCACACAATCCATGCGTACCAGTGACTTAGGTGACCTGTTGGGGTTAGATTTAGGGGTGGGGACTTTGCACCTAAACTCCAAGTGATCGGATTCCGTCCAAGTCATGAGAAACTGCCTGGTGGATTAATTCTGCAAACAAGTTCACCTGCGGTTATCTATCGGTGGCTTATCTGATTGTATGTTTCTTAATTGATGGCTTCGATGTTTATGTGATGGTTACGGGAAAATTTGAAGTTTCATGTCTTCCTTGTTCTGATAAGCGAACTTTCCGGTTTGGAAATGCTAGTGAATTTTTAAGCAGTAAGAATAATTCGGGATTTGTGATTTTATTGCACCAAAAGCCACAATGTGGCAAGAAATTATATTCCTGTTTTAGGGCTTACGGCAGCTGGATTACTTTGAGCATCATCATTGCCTTCAGCTGCCAAACGTAAAATAGTGGAGGCCTTGTCAATTTTCACAATCCAAGCCGAGTTTTGCCAGTATATTTTGGCAACACCTGGCTTTTAGAAATAAAATCGCAAAGTTAAACATTTGAAATCTATCTTCAAATCTGAAATAGCATTTTTTTCGTATGTGCCTATGTAACTGCACAAATCCGATCTCATAAACCTCAACCAAATGCAGGACAAAAAGGTGGGCCTTGCATCTTTTTAAGCAAACCTCTGTATTTACTGAAGCTAGTTCAGCAGAAAGACTAGAATCTTTTGGTCATCTGATTTTTCACTCAAAATGACTGAATCTGTGCTGGGTTGACCTCCTCCAGAAATATCTTTGAATAACAGCTGATACTTGTCTGATTTTTAGTAACATTTAGGTCAGAAAAGCGTGGAGGGTCAGTAACCCGTCACGATGTGTTGAATGATATTTACAGTGCGAAACAAGACCAACCCCTGGCGTTGTGGATGGACTATGGAAACGGGACCGACGAAAGAAAGATTCGGTCGAATACTTTCTGAATAAGACATCTGGGAAAAGTAATCAGCGAGTGACTTATTTGAACTAGTATATCCCATCTAGTAATTGCCGTGTGGCCAGTACATCTCTCCATCAGCTCCTTTATTTCAGACAGAATTTTTCGGCGCAAATGTTTATGCTATCATATTTCTGTTGTATTTCGATACGAAATTTAATGGGCTGTAATGTGTTTTGTCTCGTTTATCGATTCACTCATATTTTAGGCGTCAATGTGGTTGTCGTTATAACAGTAACACAGGAATTATGTCATGAAGTGTTACGAACAGACTATGTTGAACCACTGAGCCTTTAGATAAAATCACTTTTGGGTTAGTGTGCCTTAGGTGTATTTCGTCGAGAAACCGGAGAGAAGTTACATTCAGGGCTATAAGCAACGTAAATTGTGTCGTCGAGATAACAAAGTGCTTTTGGTAGCATTCTGATTAGCTCTAAGAGAATGAAAAAATAAAAGAAGACAGATAAACGTTATTCAGAATAACCCAAAATGACTCACTGTTTCCCTTTCTCCTTTGTTTACAGCCAGAACCCGTCTCTTTTTCTGCAGGTAGCATGCAAGTCCCACCTAATACACCTCAGGCAAGAAGACGTTGCTTCTTGTTTCTCTGAGCTTGATAAAAAAAGGCGTTATTTCCACTGTGGAATATACTGAATTTCCAAGTCTTTATTCTGTAAGAGTGGAAGATACTGTCCATGGATAATCGTGTTATGGTTGTTTAGGGTGGGAACGAACTGTCCATATTTAAATTTGGACCCAGAGAAACTGCGTGCCAGCACTTTCGTCGTTGAAGCATACCGAATTCTACCTCTTCAATAAGTTAATAACTTGAGAATTCTCGCTCCTTAATTTTTATTTTTCAACCAATTATGCGTGTTATGGGTAAAATATTTCAGCGTGGACCTACTCATTTAGCTTAATCCCGGTGGAAAGCCACCTCATTTTTATTGTTATTTCATCTGAGGAGAGCTAATTTTCGTCCCATCAGAATAGGGTCTTATATTGAACAGAAGAACAACACATTTCTCGCCTTCTTGTCACATACGGTTGTACATGAGAGGAATCAGTATAACTGGTTCTCAAAGAACTCAACTGTAGCATGCAAGATCAGTAACAGCTACTCAGTTAAGTTATATAGCCGTTGATAGCCGTTCTTTTTCCACGACGAATACTATTTTCTACAGTCTAGGTGCATTTGCACGCTCAAAATTTGTCAGTGTATAATTTTTGTAGCCGTGTAGTTCATGGAAAATTATGTACGTTTCATAATACCTCATTATACACATCAAAAAGATGTCGAATAGTAAGTTTGGGACACCTAAGCTAGCTTTTGTTCATTTTTTTACCCACCATAAGATTGAACCAGGTGACACCACGCCAGCCAGCTGGTTCCCCCTGTGCGTATCAGTCAAAACACAACTAAAGGGGCTGCCAAAGTAATCATTTGGATAAACCAATCACTTGATGGTGGGCGTTAGGTCCACCCACTTGTCAGTGCAGGATGATTAACGATTAAACAAAACGGAATCTGGTAAATGAAAAGCTTGGTAAGTCTCGCCTCAAGTGATTGGCGGATTGTCAGTAAATCAAGAAACCAACATCAAAATGCATACATGCGGCGTTTGTGAATATTCGACTGTCATTATCATCCTCCTAATAATTACATTTTCCGCGATAATCACCATCCGTCAGGAGGACAAAGGTGAAATCCTGTAAAACACTACTGAAATATGTCCGGAAATAACACGAAAGAAAGATGGCTTTATATAGTTTTCATGTCCACCCAAAGCCAAAATAATTAGCTACTTAAGTAGATTGGATACTGAACGGCATTGCATTATCCCAAAATAAATTTCAACTTCTACATCCCATTTCTGGAATGCAGTCCTGTAACAGGCTAGCTAAAATTAGCCTGAGAGAACCCCATCTAACAATCAATGTGGCTTGAATTAGGAATATTGTTTACGAAATTGCGCGACAATGGTTCTGTCATACTCATTTTGTAAGAGCGCTAATCACCAAGACAGTCAAAGGTACAATCTAATCTTCCATGTACCATTAGCGAATCGTCTGAGAAATTCTGACCTTAGTTATAGAAACAATTTAGTCGTGATGGCTCAGTGGTAAGGCACGAATTTAAAAGCCGGAAAGTCCACAATTCAAACGCGGCTTCTGTATTTCGATTTTTCCCGCCCTAGTCTTGAGAAACCTGGCAGTATCCCAGCTCTCGTGCTTTCTGCAGGTGGCATGACAGCTAGGCGCCGAAAGCGTGTTAAGGCGTTATAAAAACGACCCTATTCTACTGTTACAGTCAAATCACAAGTTTTCCAACAAGCAACAGCATAGGCACCAGGATTTCCTCTCTTCGAGTGAAGACACAATGTGCAGGACCAAAGCGATTTTCTGACGTAAACCTGAGATGTTTGGCACTGGAGGGCTTCATTTCAAATTAGCAGTGCAAGGATGCTCCAAAACCTTTGGTAGCTTGCATAAATGTTTTGGTATTCAAGGAGTTTTAACCTATCCACAACCAGTTAGAATTTCCAGCACTTTTAGCAACTACGAAACTGCTTCTGTATTTTACAGCAAATCTCGGGGAAAATAACTGAGAATGTCACCCCTAGAAGTACAGGCACACCGCGAGAAACACTAGAGGTAAGTATGCCTCAACTTCAACTGCCACTAGTGTAACAGAAGATCTGTAAAAGTCCATGCTTTAGGCTGCATATGGTTTTACGATTGCCAGAGATGAAAATTTGCCGTCATCAACACCGTGCACACAGCTGCTGTGCTTTAAGTAACTGCACAAAACCGGACGTTGCACTCAGCTACCAAAAAACACAACACAGGACAAGGACGCAAAGCGGATGCAAGCACCTTTCCCATGGTTGCTTACCCACTGCCTATCGAATGCAGTCCACAACCCTAAGCTTTACCTAAGCTTACCTAAGCTTTCCGAATGAGAAGGTGACCGAGTGAGATTGTGGTGGAGTGAATATTTTCACCGTAGGTGCAACACAGATGGCAGGCAGTCGATGCCAACAGTTTGCATTGAGCCCATTTTACTCAAATCAACTGCTAAAATAATGGGTATTTCGGTTTGTAATAATGAAGGGGATGTCTCACGTGACACAGGCATTCCTGCCCAGTGAATCTCACCAGGCATACGAAGAAGAACTGGTCTCCTGACTGATACACCCATAACCTAAGGATCAACTACCCAACGCAACTAGACAGCCATGATTCTCTAGACTATTGCATTAAATCAACAGCTGAGTAAATTAAGCGAAGTAAACCAGTGCAGTGTTTAAAGTGATAGTTGAAAATACACATGATTTCATGGCTTATAAGAAAACGCCCGTTTGAGTTAGGAATAAGCTGTTTTCTCTCTCCAAATTCTCCCGTAACGTCCTAGTATTTCCACGGACCTAAACAGATGACGGTACTGGTGGTTTGCATTGAGTCGCAGGTGCAATTAGCTGAACATTCAGAATGTGGTATTAGCCAGAGTTAATAGGCCCAGAGAGTCAACAGAAAGCTTCATTGCTGAAAAATTCCTATAGCCTCTTATCTGTTTCGCCGTCTCGAGACCGACTAGCTCTGCCTACTCCGGAATTTTAGTCAATCTTGGACACTAAGGTGCATGTAAATAAAACCAAATATTTTCGTTTAAGGTGTGAATAGTTGGTAAGCTACGATTAAGAGTGTGTCTTATCTCGATGAGTAATGTCCATTGGTCTCTTCTACAGCACATGAGTCATGAAGCCTCAACACCAAAAAGTGTTCCTCTTTCGCAGCACAAATCCCCAAATGCTGTGAGTTCCCTGAATTTGCTGAATCCATGTTCCTATTCTTCTTAACTTTTCAGTACTGAACTGAATGCAAATTTTTCTGAACAAGAACGATATACCTTCTTGAATAGATGTACTCTGACCTGTGGAATCTATGTGAAAAGCTCCTGCTCCTGCCACAAGATATGAGAATGCCAACGTATGAATAGCACCTCCCTTTAAATAACGAACAGATGTTCGCTAAGAAATCAGCCATAAAGGTCACTTCCTGTACTTCCGAACTTTTAACTTAGCTTATTCAATTACCCATACATCAGACAGTTTTAAGTACACGTCTGAGTCCTGACTAGCCTCCATGACTTTTCATTTTGAAAGACTCTGAAAGTACGTCCAAAGCAAGTAGATATTCCTTTGGTTTCACGTCTGATTAGGACAGATGCTTTCCACACATCAGCTTCTAGATGCCTTTTGGTGTGTCAAAGTGCCAATCAGCACATCTGAGGTATGAGCAAACCCGACCCAACTCTTTAGTTGTTAGTCGTAAATCAATAGCTGAACCAGAACTTGTAACCTTTATTTTTCTTTGATTAGTTATTATCCTGGTTTATAAGTTTAATTTAATTTTCGGTATCCTTCTACCTGCATTCAATCCCGGAACGCAGTCAGGATCCTCCCCACCAAGGCCATCCGCTCTGAAGTCAAGCCAGGTGAGTTAATTCCACTGATCTGATAAGGCAATCCGACTAACTGATTTAATGACTTATCATTTTATTAACCTATCTATCAATCTATCTGTCTGTCTATCTACCTATCTATCTATCTATCTATCTATCTATCAATCTATCTATCTATCTATCTATCTATCTATCTATCT